GCGAACAAAGTTAATAAATTGTCTGAATTGTATTCACGGAGACGCACACACACACACACACACACACACGACACATATATATATATATATATATATATATATATACATATATAAAATATTTAAATGATCGCTTCGACTTCGAGAGGATTTCCCTCATCAAGATAGAAATATAGTGGAATATATTGAGGAATAGATCGCAAGGAAAGAACGAAACGGAAGATCTATCGGGAAGACCAATTTCGAAAATCCAGTCATCGTTCTTATCGCGTTCTGGATTTTTCGGGATAAAAGAGTATCCAGAAAAATGTGTGTCGTCGACAGAACGTTCGACGGATCTAGAAATCGACGAATTTCTGTGATGGAGATTACGATCAATCAAATTGATTATGTAAAATTGAACATTTAATCCGGGATAACTAGGAAGGAACAAAATTAGGAGAAACGCGATTTAATGACGATGAATACTAATTAAAACCTCGCCTCGTTTGTGAATTATGGCAACATTGAATTTTGTACGTTCATCTAACAAACCCCGTCTAATTTATTTCGTTTAATTATGATCAACTAATACGATTACTCGATTCATCCTTATCGTAATTTCTCGAATATCGGAAATCTTTTACTAATGGCGAAGACCGGAGGAGAAAGATACTAGATGGAAGTGGAAAAGTGGTAGTATAGGAACGCGTCTTGAATAAAGCTATCATCGTATCGCGTGTCTAGAGAAAAGCGAGCATGGCAATCGATTCTCGGGCGCCTCTCGTGATTCAAATTTCGGCCTGAGGTGGAATTATCGCTGGTATATTGCGTTAAGCGGGATTTATAGCTCTATCATGGCCAAGTTTTCGAAGAGATGTCGCGGTAATGAAACCATTACACGCTTCAGTGTATTTCGTACGAATCACGTTGCTTGGACTCGGTAAACTGCGAAATTGTTCTTGTACTTCGGAGAACACTTTAAGAATCAACTGTCCGCGAGTATATTGTTTAAAGGTTTAGGTTAAAAAGCTTGTAAATCACCATGTTAAATATTTCATCAACGTAAATAATAGCGCGAGTTGCGCGCATATATGTTGCAAAAAATATATATGACAAGTATATGAAAGAAAAAATATCTAAGAAATAAAAAAACACTCATTCGATGAGTACTAATAACATATATACTTATTTATATATTAATATATTATATAGTTATATATTAATATAAAATATTTTTCAAATCAGAAAATATACATATTTTTCCAAATACCTCAGCTTCTTTCATAAGAATAATTTTTTATTCTATTTAAATCAAATAATCAAGATATAATTCTAATTAAGTAAACGAATTTATATAAATATAATCTATATAAATATATACGTTATTAGTAACCACTGGACAAATATTGTTTATTTTTTACATATATTTTGCCTCAGTGCAATATCCATTAGACATCACTTTACGTTTCACGTGGTAAAATGCATCATTGGATATCGTCATCATCGTTGAAATTTCCGATTCAATCTCCGTCTCTTTAGGAACATCAACGGACAGATCTAGCATGATTGCTACCTCGCTTTTGGTTGCGATAGCCTGCGAGCCGATTTCGGAATACGGGCAACCGTGCCGCCGCAATCGAGGTCTCCCGCGTTCACACTGCTCGTAACGATTACGTCTTTATTAACCACCGGACCCAACCAGAAACGACCAGGAACGCCGGCACCCGGCGGCTCTAATTAGCGCGACTACAGCGAATTACCGGCGTCGGAATTTCGCTGCTGAAACGCGCCGGGGAAAACACGGAACGGCACTTTTGCGAGGGGTTCGAACCGCCCGCAGCGGCGGGAGTTTCGACCGAAATCACGTTCAGCAAAAACTCACCCTTCTGCTTTCCCTCCTCTCCCTCTTCCACTCCCCTTCCCCGTCCCTGACGACATCGCAATCGCACTTCGTTGTCCGTTCTTTTTGTTGCGTTCGCGTCTTCGTGATCATCACCCGACACCTCCATATCGCGGCTACTTTTTATGCAATAGCGCCCGAGTTAACGACGAGAATCGTCGGTTGTCGGTTAATTGCGTTCCTTTTATTTTCACACGAAACAGGATCGTTAAGTACGGTGAAGTGTAGATTGACATGTTCATACGGGATATGCGGTTTTTTCCCTCGCCGTTATGCCGATGGTACAGCTTTTTGTTAACACGTTGAATTCCGTGAGGTGACTGGCTGTAATACTACCACGATTCGTTGAGTTACGTGTAGAATATAATTAATTACATTTGAAAACCCGATTGTACAACCGAGAGAGAGAGAGAAAGGGGGGAGAGATAATGAAACGAGAAAAGTGCATCTATCAGTCTCTCGAATTCCATTTGTTTCCCGGATTTCTGGTAATTCGATCACCAGTTAAAACCTCTGCACTATCATTGAAAATCAACGTGGCGATCAACGTATTAAAAATGTTTGTAGTTGTATAAGCAGCAGTATACAATTGTACATAGTTAGATATTGCAAATAGAGTATTGCTTCTTTCGTCTGAGATCAATCGATTTATGATCAAGCGATTACAACATCAACGATATGCTCTTTGTGAGCTTGGAATTGTACACTCACCAATGCAGATTGTTGATATCTATCGATGTCCAGTCAGGTCTTCTGACGAAAGTCTCCGCCGCCGCCCCACTGCATCCCGGATCGTTCGCAACCGTATCGTTTCGCATCCGTCACTCAGAAGCGTCCTGTCTCCGTTCTTCATTGTGCTCCGTTGATTCCACTTTGTTTCATTACACTCACGATATTTCATACTTACGACGCGAATAAATTTCACATTTCAACCACGCTCAAACAAATATTTCAATTGTACCGATGAGAGATTTTCACTTATCTCGAAATGAAATCTACGGGTTCAAGCGGCGAAAAGCAAATTCGTTTAATATAAATAATCTGTCGCGGCACGATTAATTGCAGCATTGTTGGAACGCACACATCCACGGTATTTGTACAAAGTTCAATTTCGTGAAACTCAGCCGAATTTATTTTAACGAAAGATTGCCTCGCAAGAACACAATTTCAACGAGAATGTAAATGGAAAAAACGAGAATGATTGTATCGCGATGATTGTAGAAATTATTAATGTGAGGCAAATTGCGAGAAAAGTAATCATTATATATGATGATGATGGCGATTTTAATGCACCTTGTATATTTTTATATACAATTGTTCGAAACAATCAAGGGATCATACTGAATGAATACAGCTTAAAATGAATATAAAAGAAAATATTAAAAAATCGTATTTCCATGAATATATTTGCTATGAGATTAAAATCAATTATTAATATTAAATATTTGATATGAGATATTTATATTTATATATTTAGTCAAATATTCAATGATTAAATATACCTTAAAATATTAATTGAAAAAATAATCCCATCATTATTGCGAACAGTGAAATATATTCAACAAATACATACACATAAACAGGCAAAAGTCCACATATATTAAAATTTGAAAGCGGAATAAATCGTATTGATCTCAACGAAATATTTTATAAAAGCTTTACCATTACCCTTCAAATCTTGTTATTCATTTCTTTGTATTTATTACTCACCGAACGAACATTCACCATTTACCTCATTTACTAAGATCATAAACAATCACCTTCTACTATACTAATATCTAAAATAGAAAAAAAATAATCAGTCATAATAATTAGTCAGAAATTCAATTTTACGTACAAGTGCACATCTAAAATAGAAAAAAAATAATCAGTCATAATAATTAGTCAGAAATTCAATTTTACGTACAAGTGCACATCTAAAATAGAAAAAAAATAATCAGTCATAATAATTAGTCAGAAATTCAATTTTACGTACAAGTGCACATCTAAAATAGAAAAAAAATAATCAGTCATAATAATTAGTCAGAAATTCAATTTTACGTACAAGTGCACACGAAAATGTGAGTGAATTAATCCTTTGTAGTCATAATTGCAGTCATATTGTCGACTATATCTCGGTTTTCGACAGTAAAGAGTTAAGAAGAGAAATATAACTAGTCTGAGAACTTACCCTCGAGCCGACTCTGCTAGGCCCGAACCAGATCCTTTGGTACTGCTTCCGCATCCTTCTGAATTCATTCATTGTTGTTCCTTTACAATGTAATTCCATGCTCTGTTAAACCTGAAACAAAAATATAAATTTTCTAAGTAATTATATCGAGACTAAAAGTTACTAAATTTTCGACAAATTGAAAATACAGAAGTACTCAATGTAGAAGTATAAAAAATATTAAGTATCGCATATAACATTGAGGTATTCTATACAGATGCTAATCGATTAAATAATGAAAATTGTTAGTGTCAATTGTGCAAGATAATCTTACTAGCAACGGATACTATAACTATAAATAAATGATCTTATAATATATTATAATAAATTATATTCCGCACACTTGAATCATTCTAGAAAAATAGGTAAAAGTGCACGACTGAGACTTAAAACGTATTCATGTATATGAAAATGAGCTTTATACTATCGCGGCTAACACAACTAATGAATACTATGAATGTATCGCAATTTATTCAATTGTTTATATTTTAGAAAAGATTTTTGTGGATAATTGATCAGTCAATTCAGTTCACGACTTTCCATTTTAAGTGTCTGGACACTAATTCCTTTTCCTTCGACACCGCTGTGCCCACTTGATAATCTCGGCGGCGTTAAGAGGAGCGCTTGCAGTATCGGAAGCGAGTGCACGCCTACGTAGAACGTTGGTACAGGATCCATGCAACACTCTGGCAAACAACGGAGCGGCAACTCGGCGGCGGCGTAATACGAAGCGACTTTGCAACAATGCATTCGGCTTAATCGGGCAGAACAGCGCGTTTCGCGCAAGGACCCGTGTGTATCCAACAGCAAGCTTAACTGCACGCCCGTGCACATCGAATGCACCGCTCGACTCGTCTCCTTCTCTTGCTCTCGTTCTCTCTCTCGCTCCGGTGCGAAGCCATAGAAGGAATCGGGACAGGTTAACCCTTTGTGATCCTACATCAAAATGGACTCGTCACGGTACAATTGACGTGAATAGTAATCGCCAGTCCTCAAAATTTGCGATAAAATGTGTAACTTCGAGTGAAAAGTGTCAAGACATTAAAGGTTATGTATGAGGTTCGCTGATTGTCGGTTCTTACGCACGCTTACTTGAGAAAAACGCGCAAAGTAGCATGCACACGTTATGCGTAAGACTAACACTATATTTGGTACGTGATCTGTACGTGTGTATGTTTCAAGAGAGCTAAAAGAAGTACCTTTGTTGGACAATATTGTCGGCGCGGCAATGAAAAATCCGGAACGTCCCGCGATGGTTGAGTGAAAATTCAAACAGCGCAGTTTAACTGTAGACAGGAACTAGTATTCTCATTGGCCCGTGATATTAGCCAATCACAAGACTTATTCGCGTTGCTAAAGTCCGTTGTACACTGAACCTCTTTTTAGGAATAAAAGCTTTCATTAGATTTTGTTTATTGCATCTGGTGTTCACGAGCATTAGGTGCAAAAGTGTCAAAAGTATAAGTAACACGAACAAACGCCACAGGCGCCGATACGCGCTACTGCAATCATGACGCCAGCGTCGTGAATGTCATGTTTCCTGTAACCCTATTCTGTAACTTCCCAACGACAATGTCACTAGCACGGCGTATCGTTGTGCAACTTTTCTACCATGCATACTCGTGCAACGACAATGTAACGATAACGACACTGTCGGTAAATTTTACAGAATAGACCTGCTAGACAGAAACTGTTCAACACTGCTAAAGCTTCAAAGTGTTAAATAAAGTATTATGATTCGTTTAGCCGTCGCTCTCTGAAACACTTGCAACGCTAACGGACCTTACCCAGCGAGAAATGACTCGTCGTTCGACGTCGATTTCGACATCGATGGATGAGTAATTTCTTGATAGGTATCTTCTGCTAACAAAAGGTACGTTATAATATTCACGGCCAATGTTGGAAAGCTATAATTCATGCCACATAATTGTAAATTTACAGCACTATCAGTAATTTAGAATCAGCTAAATATGTATTGCTCATGTATATTTACTCAGTTTTTGCGGGATTAGACGTCTTTCGTAGTCTCAAAAATATCAAGGATGTGCGATTCTTGGGAATAGACGTGCGACGATGGTTGATGGTTGATCGCGCAGAGAATTTACGTTTACACCTATGGAACAAAGATATGTTACGTCGCTAAACGAACGCGATACAAAAATTCAGTTTTATTTCTACTACCGATGCGTTATGTTGTGTGGATATTTCAAAAGAGCTGAAAGAAATACCTTTGATAACATTTGCCAGCGATTGAGATCCGAATCTGGAATCTGGAATCTGGACGTCCGGCGACGGTAGCGTGAAAATTCAAACTGACCCGATTTCGCTGCGAACAGAAATGGACGTTCTGATTGGCCGTGTCTACGGCGGTGCTAATTGGCGGTGAAAACAGTGTTCTGTTTATGGACATGTGTATTAATTACGTATTTTCCATCTGTTTTTACAGGATTAAGCTTCTTTCGTTGTTACAATAGCAAATCCAAATCTGGTATATTCCGCGGTGATTGCGTACAAATACAAGCAGCTCCGATATTTCTAGGGAGAAAAATCAGACGTTCTGATTGGCGTCTGTTAGCCAAGTAGAGTACTCTATTATGTTTATAACGGGCATCGGTTCGTAGACTGTTATCTAATGAACATAACGTTACATATAACGTACAAGTTAGTTGTAATTTCCTACTTAACAATTCCTACTTAACAAGTTAGTTGTAATTTCCTACTTAACAATGAAACTGTTATATAACACATATGTTATTATGTCAGTGAACACAAAGTTACACGTAACGTACATATTAGTTATAATTTCCTACTTAACAATGTAACTGTTATACAATACGTATGTTATATAACAGTTACATTGTTGAGTAGGAAATTATAACTAACATGTACGTTACGTGTAACGTTGTGCACTAGGTATTCATAAGCTGCGTTCAAGAAGACACTATTTGGCGCTAAAAGCGTATTCTGACCTTGTTATTTACTGAAAGTTGAATAAGGACAGAAGAATCGACCCATTATGGGTTTTCTACAATAAGTCGTTAGTCATAACATATGACACATAAGGTATAAGAGAATTTACCAATCAGAATTCTTCATTTCTGTTCTGAAGAACTGTAATTGGTGGATTTTCTTATGCGTTATGTGTAACGACTAACGGCTTATTGTAGAAAGCCCATTAAGCCCGTATCAGACTATAGATTAAGATTGAGATTGAATTGAAATTTAGTCAATCAGAGCAAAATTCACTAAGCTCATGTTTAGTGAACTATGCTCTGATTGGCCAATTTTCAATTTAATCTCAATTTTAATCCGTAGTCTGATATAGGCTTTACGAATACACCTATATGACTCGATTCGATTTATGGTTACGGATATGAATATATTTATGGATCATTTGAGCCACATCTTTAATTTCTGACACATACAATTAGACCAACGCAAGTAAAAATTTATAACCGTAAGGTTGTATATGAATTTTCATTTGCGTTGCTCTATCTGATTATATGTGTTGGAAATTTACAAAATTACGGTTACAGGTAACGCTTTTTTACGTGCAAAGACTTTAACGCAGCTATAATCGGATCTTATACTTAACACTGTTTTCAGTTTATCTTCAGATACTTCGTAACCAATGAAATGATTCGTACAGTATCTAAAGATGAACTTAAGACGTGATCTTAAATATAAGATCTGACTATGAATACCAGCTGAAGTAAATATCGAGAGTAACGTCCATTTAGCGCTGCAAATGCTTCAGAGCGTCGGACAGACCAATCATATTGGTTGATTTGATGCTTTGAAGTATTCAGAGTGTCAAGCGGATTTACCCAAGAATAGACTTTTTTATTGGCACTCAATTGGCAGGCAATTAGTGTCGCTGCTGTGTAATGCTACTTACGGTTCACGGCGAACGTCGCGTCGTGTTGGCGGTTGTGTGTATCGCTCGCGTACTTTTTTTCGATCTTCGCGGGATTAAGTATCTTTTGTTGTCTCGTAAGTATCGAGAGTATGTGGCGTTCAGGACTGCACCGTTCTCGGAAACAATCGTGCGAGGACGACTAACGAAATCATGTGGAGAAGTGCTTAATTGTATTAGCGGGAGGACGATACGTACGCGTCGTGAATACGACCCATGTAAGTTCGGTTTTATTTCTACCACCGTCGCGTTATGTTGTGGGTACATTTCGAAAGAGTTGAAAGAAGTAATTTTTTTTTGATAACATCGTTGATAGTAACGGGAAACCCGAATCTGGAATATTCCGCGACCGTTGCACGAAAATTCGTATGATTTTACGAGCGCTCATCAACCAATCAAGACCGCTGACGCGCAGGCGCACTACTTTACGGCAGCGTAGTCGCAGCGGACGTCGCGTCGTGTTGAAAGTTGTGTGTATCGGTCCCGTAATTTTATTCGGTTTTCGCTGGATTAGGTATCTTTCATTGTCTCGGAAGTGTCGAGAATATGTGGCGTTCAGGACTGCACCGTGTTCGGGAACAATTGTGTGGAAAAGTACGTAATTGTGTTTACATTAGAAGGAGGACGATACCTACGCGTCGTAAATACGATTCACGTAAGTTTGGCTTTGTTTACCACCGTCCCGTTATGTTGTGTGTACATTTCGAAAGAGTTGAAAGAAATAGTTCTTTCGGACAATATCGTCTACAGTAGCAAACCCGAATCTGGAATATTCCGCGACGGCTGCGCGAAAATTCGTATAATCTTACGAGCGCTCATCAACCAATCAGGGTTGTGACGCACACTACTTTACGGCGGCGTAGTCGCAGCGGACGCCGCGTCGTGTTGATGGTTGTATGTGTCGGTCGCATACTATTGCTCGATTTTTTGCAGAATTAGACGTCTTTTGTTGTCGCGGAAATGTCGGAAGTGTGCTGTGCTCTGGACTGTACGACGCCCGGGAGTAGACGTGTAACAACGACTAACGAGATCGCACGAAGGAGCTCTTGACATTCAGGCCCGAATAATGCACAGAAAAATATAAGTATTAAATCTTGGGGTAACGTCGTATATTGCCGTGACGACTTACGCCATCTTACTGGAGAAAGTTGCATTAAGCAACACATAAGTCAATCCCCTGACAAAGAAAAATATAGAGCGTCAAAAGCTCTAAGATTGATTTATGGGCCATTTAACGCAATATTTTTACATAAGGTGGCGTAAAGCGCTCCGGTAATCGGTTCGCGTGATGACACATTGGCTATATTCGCTTTGGGCGCTTATGCGCTGTAAGCGTCATTCTATCTTCTTCTCGCATGTAATAAGCGATAAAGATTGAATGACGCTTACAGCGCGTAAGCGCCCAAAGTGAAAACGCAGCCATTAGGTTCAACTTCATTTTCGTCACGGTCAGTAGAGACGGACGGAAGCGAATTTTGACGGCAGAATTGCGTTGCGCGAATAATGTTACACAGCCGCGATAAAATCGTCGAACGCGACAAAGTGCGCTACGGAGTGAAAGTGTCGTGTGTTGTGTCGAAGATCGAAACGTGCCGACGCAGTCGAGTGGATATTCCGATGAATGTCACAGTGTCGTTAAGCGATCGTTTCGGACTGAAGAGTCTCGAATAATAAACGCGTACGCGCACGAATTCCTCGCTTTTGTGAAACGCCACCTCGAAATGAATATCGTGTCGCGGAGCGCCGAAATACGTCGAGTGGTCTGTGAACATCCGTTATAAATTTTCCAGTCTTGTTGGACATTGCTCGGAAATGAAAACGACGGCGGGATCAAACATGACGAACGTCAAATGCGATCGACGAGAGGGACGCGGATGCAATGGTATTCCTGGTTGCAGTGTGACGGCAACGGTGAGTGTTTAATTGGAATGTGAATATGAATAACCTTAATAGGATATCAGTGTGTTCATATGTAACCCCTCGCCTTATGATTTGATTTATGCATCTGATATGATGTTTGCATTTTGCTAACCGTACTCATGCATTTATGTGCATATCTGTTTCCACAGCAGTTTTCCGAAATCATAGGTGCTCTTGTATTATTGAAGAACAGACAACAATAATATTGCCGCCTATTGTTTTTGCTTGTCTTGCTTTCAGTATTCTTTTCCTTTTTTTTTTCACATAAACACAGCTAAGCTAAGCTAAATTTTCTATAAATGTCGATATACATGTAAACTTTTACATTTAAAAAATTAATTTTTTGAAATTTTTTTTCCATTACTTTCTTCTCTGAAATTTTGAAATTTTAAGAGCAATGATATAAAAAATGCAAATTTTATTATATATTATTGCTTAACACATGAGCGCAATTTGTGTTTATCATGTTTGATTTGCAACTTAAACTATTAGTCCAACTTGATATAAGGCAAGGAGTTAATTAATTTAATAATGAATGCTGCAAGAATTAATACTATTTTTTTCATAGTAACAATAGCATTTCATTAGGAAGAGAAAGCATTTTGGTAATGTAATAACGAGAAGTGATTGTTTATTGATATCCTATAATTATATTATAATATAGTGTATATATATGCATTATGATAGCATCTATTTTATTGATATTGCAAAATATGTGATGATTACCAATTGAAAAAAGTTTAAAATTTGACCGTATATCGATGGAACGACATGGCGTCTTTTATCTTAACATTTATACGTAGATATAATCGCATGGGTATATATATATATATATATATATATATATATATATATATATATATATATA